TGATAAATCTATAAATCTATAGATAAATTCTATGATTCTATGATAAACCCCACTGAGAGTGGACAGAATTGGTATCAATAAATAAATGATGTGGGGGCTTATATGTATGGCACAAATACAATATGTTATGCATACACACACATAATTTGAAATACTCGTATGAAGATATGTAGGCACAGCTGCAGATGCAGCAGGGTCTACCTGCCCTGCCCTGCCCCACGCTCAGAGCCTCCCGCGGCAGGACGAGGCGCTAGGGCCGTGACTCAGCTGCTGTGCTGTGCTGGGTGGTGTCCAGCCGGTGTTGGGCAGAGATAAGCCCCCCCTCCGCCCCCCTCAGCATCCTCCCTTTATTCCGGGCTTTTTGTTTGCTTGCTTTTGTCCTGACACGCAAAACAAAAGCTCCTCCGAGGACTGCTGCGGTGGGGCAGGTGTGAGAGGCAGAGCGGGATGACAGAGGAGAGGCGTGCCAAAGTAAGTGCCAAAGTAAGTGCCAAAGTAAGTGCCAAAGCTCCTGAACGGGAAATAGGGGAAGGGAGCTATGTCCATGTGCTGGGACCCACCAATAAACTGTGTCAGATGCTGCAGGAGTTTGTACCATTACCTCTTACAGCTTCCTGAGTGTTTTTCACCTGTTCTGCAGAGAAGGAGTGTGCAGGTTATCCCTCTGAACTTTCTTCAGCCCTGCTGGATGAGCTGTCACTGTTGTCATTCAGTCTGTTAGGTCCTGGTATGTCTAATGATGGTGCTTAGCAGAGTGCTGCTCTGCGCAAACAACTTCTCCACATGCACTTTCAATTTGGGACATTATTTTGTATTTTGCCTCTTCTGTACACAAGGAAGGAGCTTTAGTGGGACATAGGTCCTGTATGAGGACCAACTTCATTTATCCTAGGATGTTTGGGTAATAAACCCACTGTCTTAATTGCTTTATCTAGTTTAAGGTATCTCCCTACAGTCAGACTCCTTACTTGAGAAGCTGCTTCCTTATGCAAGGCTTGCCAGGTGCTTGATGCTTTTCCTGTGTTACAAAGTTCAAAACATACCTGCTGCAGTCTTCTGCCTCCTCCTGCACGGGTAAATGTACGTTACTAACAACCAGCAGTGCTGCTGTCATTTGTGAAGGTACTTTTAAATTAATTTCTTCCAATATTGACCTTGTTAGGAATTAGAGGTGGATTAATATATCCATGAAGCTGTAAAGGTAGATGGATGCAAATATCAAGGTGGGCAAAAAATTGCACAAGGTCATCTTAGCAGAAGATATAACTAGTGCAATGAAATTAGGAAATGAGGTAATAGGCAAAACATTTTTCATCTTGAATTTGTGTGCATGTGTTGTGCAGGTCTTCTAGCAAAACTAACTGAATTTTTACCTTGGAACACTGGAACGATAAAGCTCTTTATCTCGAACAGGGTCTGCTGTGCATTGCCTTGGAATATTATCAGTGTTACGCAAGTTGCTAGTAATGTTTAGTGTTTTATAGCAGCTTCTTTCTAAGTGAATTTGCATAGGGAGTGATTACATGCTGCAGTGTAGTACTTTGACATTTACATTTTCAAGTCATTTCTGAAGCTGAAGCCTCAAAACATCCCTATCTCTTGTTTCAAAGCTCTCTCTTAGGTTTCCATGTCAGTTATGGCCTATATTCACTGACCATCGAAGCTGTTAGAGAATCACCTGGAGTGGTTCTGAGTAGTTCTACAAGTAAATGTAGCTCAGACCTTTGGGTGGAGTTTGCAACTACAGTTCTCTCTGAACAGAACAAAAGTAGATCCACCAGGAAGCCATTTGGTGCCTTTGGAAGAGTATGACATTTCAAAGTCACTGTCACCACAGGACAGTTCTGACTGGGATCACCTATAAGGACATGGTCAATGTGCAGTGGCAGAGCAGAATTCTGCTGGCTTTGTGCTTTTATGGTGGAGGACAGAGGCTGCCTGGCCCAGGGTAAAGGCTGCTGGTGCCACATTAGACTGCCAAGATCTGTGCTCAAATTTGAAGTGGCAGAGTAAGTTCATGGAGAGTCTGTGCTCTGTGCCATGCTGCCACAAAGCTTTTCATCTTCTGCATGCAGCGCTGCAGCCAGATTTATTGTGTCATCAGACCACAGCAGCCATCACTGTCTCATCCCAGGTGTGTCAGCCGTCTGGGTCCTGTCCCCCGTGGGACATGTGGGTCACCACAGCACCTGTAGTCCCTGCTCTGGTCTCGGGGAGTGGCATCAGTCACCTGAAGCCAGTGGGGGCTGCTCCCAGAGCCACCTGGGCCATGCTGCCAGAGGCGTCTGGCACACGGATCACTCCGGTACAGCAGCAGCAGTGACCACTTGCCTCATGACAGCAGTTTTGGTCACACACTGCCCCGTGGAGCCAGCAGTCCTGTCAGGCAGCCCACGCTGTGTCACCAGTATTCAGCACCAGCACCTCTCTCACTGCCTCAGATAGCACAGCCAACAGAATTTATGCCAACGGTGCAACAACTGCTTTAGGCCAGAAATATTTTGAAGTTCTTTTATAAAAATAAGCCCAAGGTATATCAGGTGACCAAAGTGTCTGTCACAGCTGGTTTACCCACAGCACGACCCACTGCAGCCATTTCCACTGTTCCCTGCAGGTGGAGCAGTATGTTGGAGAAATTAAAGGTGGCCTGAGACCTGCCATGAAACTCACAATCATGGGGATGGTACACCCCAACCCCAAGAGGTAGGTGAAGGGACTGGTGGGGGCTTCACCCTGTCATTACATGCTCCTACCTGTCTTATAAATTCAGAAGCTTTCTTGGGAGTCTGTGCTCTTTAGAGATTCAAAATTTATGGCTTTATTTAGTTTTCCTGTGCTTAGACTGAGATTAAAAGGTCAAGGAGGAGTTCACTGTTCGGCCTTTCTGACTGCCCTGACAGGATTTTCTACTCATTGCCCTTATCTAATGTGCACTGGAGCACACAAGTGGCATTTCTCCCCCAGGAAGAGATGCAATTCTCATCCTGCATCTTGGTGTTAGCTGGGGGTTTGAATCAACATAATTTAAACCCCAGTGGTTTTGGCACAGGAGGTACAAGTTCATTGCTGTCTTTTATCTGGATGACAGCAACTATGCTTATCATTACACATTTTTGCATCTACAGCTATCAACTCCAGTGCTGCCACTGGTAGAGTTTGCTATAACCTCTTTTAGGACACAAATTAGTGCCTGTTGAATGGCCTGATTTCAGTCAAGAGAGATGGAAAGCAACATCAGAAATCACTAGCACCCTACTGGAAACAGGGGGTGTGAGGGGCGGACACGGGGCACACACACATGACAAAGGGCAGCCAGTTCTCATCCCTTTCTCCAGCTTCTAGGCCTGTAGAAGTCCTGTGTTCCAAACTGATATGAAATCAACAGCTATCTCTAGTTTTTATAAGCATCTGACATGTTCACCATGTCTTTTTGCATTTCTGAAAGTTCCATTCACTTATTTGTTTTTTTCAGCTTTTCAGTGACTCTGCTTTGTGATCCAGTGGATGCAAACAAAGATGTTGGGCTGTTACTTACAGTTAACTTTAGTGAGAAATCCATCACCAGAAATGCACGAATTGCTGGGAAATGGGGAAGAGAAGAGAAGACTATTCCCTACTTCCCATTTACAGCAGGTGATACGTTCAAGGTAACTTTTAGGGCACTATGAATAGGGCGGAGAAAAGAAGTGGAAAAAGGCTGAAGGCTGTGTATATGACCACAAATAGCTAACTACTAGCATTGTTGGGTTAAACTAGTGCTGTATGGCACAGAGAGCAACAGTTCAAGCCCTGATGGGAGAGATGCATTTCTTTCTTTAAGCTTAGTGAGAGTACTCGATCTAAGGAGTATCATCTCAGCAGAGGAAAGGTTATTTATTAGGGGCATTTCAGAAGAACTAGTAAACTTTGTGCTTCCCTATCCCCATAACATGTCGTTCTAAGTCCATGCTGGTGAAATCAACCCTGCTACTGATCTTTAACACCCTCCCCTGTCCTTTTCCAATGCAGATGGAGATTTTATGTGAACACCAGCAGATACGAGTCTTGCTTGATGGACGTCAGCTCTGTGACTTCACTCACCGCATTCAGCCTCTGAACTTGGTGAAAGCTTTGCAGATCTCAGGCGACATCAAGCTTACTAAAGTGGCTTGAAAAAAAGGAGACTACAATATCACCAGGGGACAGAGGAAAATGTCCTTTCTCTTGTCTGAAAAATGTGTTATTATTTTCCCCTGGCTGATTCTGGAGAGTGGGAACTGCATCTTTTTAGTTTGCTGAAGTGTTTGAGATACTCACTTTATTTTCTCATACATGGTCTGCAGTTGCAGAGCTATGACTGGTCTGGATAAATCTGATAGCCTGTACTGAGATACGCTTTCAGCCTCCCAAACTGCAAGATCTATGATGCTTTGCAGTATCTCACACCTTTATGGTTCCTTAACCCCCCCAGGCATGCCAGCTGGCAGAGCTCAGTCCTCTGCACTGAGGTGGCTTAGCTTTGTGACTGGAACTGGTGGGGCTGAGAAAAGAGAAGCAGGAGATTTCTTGTAAGTGAATAAGGGAGTCTGATGGGCCCCTGAAAGGCTCACGTTATCAGGAAGGAAATACTTTTCCTGGAAGCTCTGCACAATCAGCACAGAGCCTTCTGTGCTTCCCAGTACAGAGCAATAAATGCCTTACCAGCATTATTACCCGGTCTCTTGCAGGTAGCTGTTTGGGAATTGAAAGGTTTCAACAGCTGTGGATTTCACAGTGTTCCCTGGACCAGCCCTAGGAAATGGTATCTGCAGCTGAAATTGCATTACCCATTCTTGTATCTAATTAAAGCTGCAACTTTGATGACAAACCTTTTTACCAGCACTGTTAAATATTTGAATGCATTTGAGTGTTGTGCTTTTACTTCATTGCTGTAGCTTTTGAATAAAGTCCTAAATACATGGCTATTCTAATAAATATATAATCATTTATCATATGCTGCCTCTGGCTCTGTTATGATGGGTTGCTTATAACACAGGATGAAGGGGAAAGTCTTTAGATGAAGAGACTTTTTTTTCCAGTATATAACTTGGAGAACAAAAAATCTGCGAAGAGGTGGTTCTGTGAATAAAGGGCTATCGAGTCCCCTGTGACTTCAGGGAAGATCTATAGCATGCTGCCTTCAGAGGGCTTTTGGAGGATCTGCAGAATCTGGCTGTCAGATACAGGTACTCAGAGAAAACAAGGAATTTTATGAAAACAGTGTATCAGCAGGCTGGTTGAATAATTTCCTACATTCCATTGTACTCTCTGGTGTATTAGTTTATATACCCACCTAAAATTACGGTGTATGAAACCACTACTCCTCATATATTCAAACTGTGCCCAGAGAAAAGTCACTTTTCTAAAGAGCACAGGAGATTTAAATGTACTGGTTTAGGTTGGGTGTTTTTTATATGTATTTAAGGATATCAAAGACAAGTTTAGTAAACAAATAATGGAAAAATTAATGGCTTAAGGTAAAAAAAAAAGCAATAGTCAGAATTGCTACTATAATTCTCAGTCCAAATGGTGCTCCAACATAAATGGACTTATGGTGATAATCAGTATAAAAAGTCTTGCTTTTATGGCTGAGTGATTTCTTCCAATATATTCAGAACCAGCAAGTGTCAGAACCAGCACTGGTCAGGATCCTGTGCTGCTGTGGGACATTATCAGCACAAGAATAACCTGTATAGTGGAGAAGAAGATCCTTTGGTCTTTTCCAGTCTAACAGAGAGCCAAGTGGTAGTGCGGACGGATGAACAGACAGATCCCTTCTTTGTTTTGCAATACAGATTATCCTGGCAGCTGGATTCTGGCTTAGCAAAAGTTTCATGTGGTACACCAAGAAAGACAACCTCAGACACCAGCACCTTTCATGACTTTGATGTTTGTCAGTCTTAACTAATGAAGTTTATGAGCCCCTTTACAAAGGGGAAAGGAGCTTTAAGATAAAGCACAACCTGGATCTGTCAGATATAGACTGAATACTTGTATAAAAGATTCTTTTCTTTCATTTTGGAATATTTGATCTCATTGTTTCTTTGTAAAGCCCCATTTGTCTGTATCCACCTGTTGTCTTTTATCTCTTGCTTGGAAGGTAAGTTCTTGGTGGAGAATTATTCTGGATCTACATGACTTTAAGGCACCTAGGATGCTGGTCTGCCAGGAATTGCTAGGTGCTATGGTGATACAAGTAGCAAAACTAGACCATCAAGGGTAAAACAACACTCCCAGCCAATAAAAACAGGAAACTTGGTCAAAAGTGTAATTTTTCATTTAGTGTGGAGTCTACTTTACTCATGTCAGTGGTTTGATTGCCTCAATCCACTGTGTTCTCTCTGCCTTGGAGCTGGCCTGGATATAATAATGAGTGTCATTTTTGGTGATGATTTTGAAGAGGTTGCCTTGCACATTGCCCTTCACTCCTGCAGGGAAAAAAAAAGCAGAACAGGAAGGTGCAAAGAGAAATGTTTTCTGGTAGATATGAAGCTTCATAGGGAAGAATTTAAATTTATTGAATTAGGAGATCAAATCTTTCCTTTTTATTACGGATAAGACATCTAAAGCTCTTATGTCTTTGACTTCCCTTCTACAAAATCCCTGGAAGTGTTCAAGGCCAGGTTGGAGAGGGCTTTGAGCAACCTGGTCTAGTGGAAAGTGACCCTGTCCATGGCAAGGGGCTGGAACTAGATGATCTTTGGGGTCCCTTCCAACATAAACCACTCTGTCATTCTATGGAAATAAAGATATAGCATAGACATTTCTCCCATAGATTTTATGAACTACTGTGCACTATGCCACAGATATAAAATAGTCTCTGTTTGGATGGAGACTATTATTTGAGATATACACTGGAGGGATGAACTCCCTACAAGTTTGTACAGCAGGTTAGATTTGCTCCTGCCCATCTTTGGGTTCCTCTTAGCAAGGAGCTTTATTGTTCATCACATCACCCTGCCCCTGGACCATAGCTTTTTCAGACCCTCTCTTTAGAGTCTGTATTTTAGATTCACACATTGTGCTTACTGTCAAAAAATAAATCACTTTAACAGCAGAAACACTTGTCTGTGAGACTGAGGTTCTAGACAAATGCCTAAGCTAAGCATATGCTCTAGCAGAACTGGGTTTTGTATTGCTGTCTTTATGTCTCCCCTACACTGGGGTCCTAGCAGATATAAAAGGAAAAGGTAATAGCATAAGTAGAGAGGACACACTGGAAAGTGGTGGCATGAGAGGATGCCTCAAGACTTTGAGTTAAATATCATCCAAAAAGATGTTTCCTCTTTGTTAACTCTGGAATATTAATCAGTGTCTTAGGACTGTCTCAGAAGTCATATGACTAAGAAAAGCCCATAAAAAGGGGAACACTCAAGATACATGGCAATAACACTAAAAAATTCCCCTCTGGTGTGGACAACCCAACAATATGGGATTTTGTGGCACATTTCTTCCCTTGCTTGCAAAGGGAAATGAAAGGCCAGCCCATTTGTGCATACAAACAGCCACACACACAAACCCACAGCCAAAGGCTGTACTGTTATGGCACAAATATGTATGTATGAATATTTAGAGGCTCATGCTTACCTGCTGGGACTCCATTGTCCTCCAGAGCTGAGACAAGACAGCCACGAAGAGAGAATCCACCTACTGGCTTGTTTTCTTCCTGCAAGGAAAAAGGAAACAAAGCTTCTGGAAAATATTATCATTAGAATCATTTCCTAGTGCACATAAATTATTTCTATGAAGCTGGAGGTGTAACACCAGTATTCCAGATATGAAACACCCATGTCACAGTAGAATTCAATCAGAACATATAATTCAATGCATTACTATGTTGTTTCAGTCTCAGATGTTTCTCAGATGTAGCTGGGCACAGTGGAGATCAGTCAAAAGCACAAGGGGAGGCTAACAATCACCTTTCAAACATATGCATAGTTTTATCAATAACAACACATTGAATTATATATATATTTCTGAGAGTTTTTAGCTTGCTTCTTTTCACTGAGACTGTATGGGGAAAATGTGACTGTTTTCACTGGCTGGTGCTCTTGTTTCTTGTCTTCAGGTTCTGCAGTTTGAGTTTATAGCATTACAAGGATGAGTTGCAGTGAAAATAAAAAAAAACATAAAGAAACAGACAACAACAAAAAATTGAACCAGCTCCATAAGCTCTTTGCACTGGTATGTTGCTTCTGTTGTTTTTAAAAGTCAAACAAAGCATTTCTGTACATGTTCTTTCAGCAAACCTGTTGGGCTTTGTGGTGCCCTATGCATCTGTGCTGCTCACATTCATTATTATATCCATGAAGATAAATTCTGCTATTCCACGAACAAGGTTAAAGCTGAGTAATAGAAATTCCTATAAATACTTTGGCATCAAGGAGACCCTATTCAATCTTGGGATAAGAATGTAAAAATTCCCAGTAGTGGGCGACCCTCAAGTGGAGGGATATCAGTCCAGAAGGATCACATCCCAGGACACATCCCTGCAGAAACATGGTCCCAGACTGTGTGGATACAGCAAAAGACCAATCCCAAGAAAACTGCTGCCCCTCAGCTAAGGAAAAGGAATCTCACTGGGGAAAAGACAGGGTGAAAGATGCAGGGACAGAAAATCCTACAAGAACAACCTCCTAGGGTAAGGCCAGAGAGGTCTAATTCCCCAGGAAACAGATAGAAGAACCCAGAAGGAGATCTGTGTAAGGGAAACATTTGCAGCATAATTGTATTTTCATCATAATGTTTAGGTCTGTAAGAGGATTTCTGGGGATGGTAACTTCCCACTCACGTACCTTAGTGGGGTCATAGTAGTGCAAAAAAGCAGGATCAGCTCTCAAAACAAATCTCCTCACCTTCCAGTTTTTCCTCTTGTGCCCCTGCAAAACAGAATAGTAAAAGTTACCACCTCCTGAAATGGCCATTTTCCTGCAGGATGGAGGGGAGACCTAAATAGGTACCGAAAAAAAGAGGTTTTGGAGCCAACAGAGAAAAATCTTTCATGACATCTTAGCAATTCCCAGGATTTCTGCTTATCTTCCTTCTTAATACACTGATAATTCCTTCCTCTCTTCCTTTTCCATGCTGAGAACTAGGAAAGCAGAGTGACAGATTATATCCCTGATTCCTGATTT